TCCAGAACTTTCTCAGCTTTCCAAGCTGAGACTTGGAAGCCCCGTTCCTTCCTGCCCCAGCCCCTGGCGTCCAGCATACTATTTCTTGTCTAGGCCTTTGACTACTCCAGGTTCATCGTCAGTGGGAATTCTGTAATATTACCTTGTGGTGTCTGGCTCATTTCAGTTAGTATGATGTCTTCAAGTTCCATCCATCGTAGCATGTATCAGGATTTCCTTCCTTTTTAAGAATCATATGTTAATGTTGTTTAATATTTTGAAGAACTTGCCATTTTAAGCCACTGGGTTTTTGAGGTGGTTTGTTGCCTAGTAACTGAACACTCTTCAGCTGTTTTTGGTGTATATACAGGTCTGTCTCCCTATGGGACCGAGTTCTTTGGGTGACTTATTTTTCCATATCATTAGTTCAGAGCAGAGTGCCTGGGATAGTTACGTAATGAGGAGGGAATGGGGATACTCATAACCAAGGGTGTTTCAGGCAGGTCTGGTGGCACACTCTGTAACCCCTGCTACTCAGAAGGCTGAGGCAGGAGGATCACAAATTTGGAACACCCCAGATCCTTGTCTCAAAATTTAAAACCATATCCTGTCTCAAAATTTTAAAACATCTGGGGATATAGCTCAGAGGTAGAGCGTCCCTCTGTCTAACCCTCAGTACCACAAAAACAAAAACAACAAAAAAACAAACAAAACTCAAGTTTTCAAACTGAAGAACAGCAGGCATAGACCAATCATAGCAGTCAAAGGCTTCAGAGTTGTTGGGTTGGGGGGTCTTGCCTGGCCAGCTTACCTCTTAGCTGCTAGATTGTGGAAGGCCTACAGTGGTGGAGCAATAAGGGTGGTGGTCACTGATCAACTGGTAGAGTTGTATTTCAATATTTTAACAAGTAGTGCAGTTGTACCAGCTTGGGTGTGCCATGGCAACCCTGTTATTATCACTTCATGAGGACCCTCAGGATAATCTACATCTGTTTCTGCAGGTGAAGAAAACGCCATGCAGGGAAGTTTACAGATTTCTTCAATGGCACGAAGTTTGGATCCAAGTGTTCTCTTAGTCTAATGTTCATTCCATTACACGAGCCTCATTGTGCGTGCAATAATAATAACAACAGGTCCTTGTGGGGAGGTGTATAAACTTCTTGGAGGGAGAAGGAGCACATGGGTGTAAGATGCCCAGTGTCTAGATGGTGCCAGCAAAACTATCAGAGGGCAGAGAAGGGAGCATTGTTCATGGATTAGTTTGACTAGAACCAAGCCTTTAAAGACAGGAAGAATTTAAGGCATCAGCAAGAAGAAGGGAGCATAAGGAGCAGACTGGGTGGAGAGGACCGGACTGAGATGTTAGAAAAGTCTGTGTCTGGCTAGGGTGGAAAAATGGCAGTCTAGAGACTGCCACTAGATGGGAAAGTGAAGAAGATGTAATGTCCCCTCACACCGTCATTACTTGTATGGTCAACAGGGACAGATCAAGTTAGAAGGAAGTTTTAAGAGGCTCTGTTGACAAGAGAAGGGAGATGGCATTCATTGAGAAAGACTGGACCACCCTACCTGCAGCTGCGGGATCTGGTTACCATTCATGCTGTTGGACACTGTCAGGTAACAGATCGTCCTCCAATTACAATGGCAGGATAAACCCATTGTCGGTTGAAAATGTAGTTAATTTGCCAATGCACGGACTACATCTGATCTACTACATATCTTGGCTTATAGTGCAGCACACTGTAGTGTTGGTTATTTCGCTTCATGATTTCCGGGCTTACTGGGAACTGTCGTGATTGCTGCTATCCAGCATCATAAGAGAAAACAGACTGCACAATGCTAGCCCTGGAAAAAAACCCAAGTTCAAAATCCCAGGTATGGTTTCTCCTGAATGACTTTTGCTTTCATCACATCATAAAGTCAAAAAAAACCCTAAATTGAAGGGAAGTCAGGAACTATCTATATATGTTCATCTGATCCGATCTCTCCCTCTAGAATGTGAGCTCCATGAGGGCAGGGACTTTGCTGAGTTCACCAGGACATCTCCAGTGTTGGTGAGGCAACTAGGATTCCAAGCAGCAACAGGAGAGGTGTCTGATACCCCCAAAACTGTAGCTCCCTGGGACAGGGGAACACAAGACCTTTGGCAGTCTGGTTTCCAACATCAGCCCGGGAGCACGCTCTAATTGCAAATCCCAGTGCTCACAGTCTCTCTCTGCCAATTGAGGCCTCTCCTTGGAACCAGGAGCTTCAGCAGTGTTAGCAAAAAGACTCCCGGTTCTCAGACAAATAATATCTGGCTGTCTGCTCAGTTGGACTTGAAAAGGCCCTAGAGTACTTTCCCTGTAGTACACACACAGTTGCCAGAGTAGGTTTTCTCTTGTCTTCAAAAATAAGAAATGTACTAACCCTTTACAAATGTTCCATGGCACCACAGGAACTACTTTGGCAAATTTCCAAGGTGAAAAACATGAAATTTTGCAGAGCTCCGGGGAGTGAACCCAGGTTCCCACGTGTATTAAGCATATGCTTTGCTGCTGACCTGTGGCCCCAGCCCAAAACACATTTTTTAAAAATTTTGTATTCATGCACGTTTGTGTCACTTCATCTTCTCTTGCAAGACCCTCAGACAGGCATGTACATCTAAAATCAGGTACACACAATTACAACACATCCTGCCCATCTGCATTTCTCCCTCAGACACAAGGGCAGATTCTTTTGTGTAGTATCCCTTGGGCTCTTGGCTCCATATTGGGGCTTTTCACCAAAGAAATTGGAAAGTAGGACTGCTTTCAGCTATTGTGCCAAAGACATATGCTCAGAGACTCCTCATCCAATATTTTAATTTTTAAAGATGTTTAGTTGTAGATGGACACAGGATCTTTTTTCTTTTTTTTCTTTCTTTTTTTTTTTTTTTAATGTGGTACTCAGGATTAAACCCAGTGCCCCACACATGCAAGGCAAGTTCTCTACCACTTAGCCACAACCCCAGCCCTCCCCATCCAATCTTAAAATATAAATTTGAAGTAAATTCTAAGGCTTTTTCTGCAGTCATTTTGGGAAGTATTTGCAGGCATCAAACCCTGGGAAGGAAAACAAGTGAGTTAAACAGCTCTTTTTTGTTTGTGACTAATAGGCTCTCCTGTTCCAGCTCTTAGATGCTAGCTGATCCCTCCATTTAAGGCTATTTGGGAAGTAACAGCAACAACCTCCCCATCATAGGCAAGATGAATGAGGTCAGCCCGGGGTGGGACCCTAGGCCTCCAGCATGCTAAGGCAAGCACTATACCACTGAGCCACATCCCAGCCCTGGCAGAAGAGCTGTCAATCACATGGAATGCATGCACAACCACTGTTTGGAAAACAGGGGGAAAATCAGGAAGCATTTCTCTGCAATTAACTTGGAATATTTCAAATCAAAACACATTTTTCTTAAAGTGTGTGTGGAGAGGAATATTAGCAGCACTAAACTTTGTAAGTAACTCTAATAATGATGATATAGAAACTGCTGGAACAGACCATTCCTATTCACAGCTCAGGCCAAGACTCAGCATAGCCTGTGCACCCTTCTTTCAAATACCTATCACTTGAGTCAAAGAGGTTCCAATTGAAGGTAGAGCTTTCATGTCAATCTTTATTTGTATGTGCTGCCTACTTTTAAAATGATAAAGTTTAATGCTCATGAGTTGAACTGGGTGTATTGGATACTCGTAGCTTTGGTAGGCAAAGGGATTTTTGTCTTCCTTGGCAATACAGGTTCAGTATCCGTTATGGTTTGGAGGTAAGGTGTGGACCAAAAGCTCACATGTGAGACAACGTAAGAAGGTTCAGAGGAGCAATGATTGGATTGTAAGATTCTTAACCCAATCAGTGATTTAATCTTCTGATAGGGATTAACTGAGTGGTAACTGAAGTGGAAGGGTTTGGCTGGAGGAGGTGGCAATTGAGGTGTGGCTTTGGGTATGTATTTGTATCTGCAGAGTGGAGTCTCTCTCGGCTTCTTGATCACCGTGATGTGAGCTGCTTCCCTCTGCCACACACTCCACCATGATGTTCAGCTTCACCTGGAAACCTGAGAAATGGAGCCAGCCTTCTATGGACTAAGACCTCTGAAAATATAAGCCCTCAAAGAAACTCTTCATCCTCTATAATTGTGCTGGTCAGGTCCTTTAGCCACAGCAGCAAAAAAAAAAAAAACCTGGCTAAAAAAATATCCCCTATCAGAAATATTTGGAACCAGAAGTTTTTCAGATTTTTTTTTTCAAATTTTGGGATATTTGTATATACATAATGAGATATCTTGGGGAGGGGATCCAAGTCTGAACACCAAATATATTTGTTTCATACATACCTTACACACATTGCCTCAGGGTGGTTTTCTGTGATACTTTAAGTGATTTTATGCATGAAATAAAGTTTCATGGTGTGACATTTTTCATTGGTGCCATCATGTCACCAATCAACAATTTTGGATTCTGGAGCATGTGAATTTGGGATTTTTGGATTAGAGATATTACGTGCATTTATAGAGGACATTTTTTTTCTTTAAAATAACATCAGGATGCGTATGTGGCTCAGTAAGAGAGTGCTTGCCTAGTATGTGCAGGCTCTGGGGGTAGATGGATAAAATAACAATGTCATGATTGATGACATTGATGGTAGAATTCCATCTGCCTCCATTTTGGTTTGCCCAGATGCTGAGATGGACCAGGAGGAGGGAAGTCATGGAGGGAAGAAGATTTTCTGTGGTCAGTTCTTTCCTTTAAGTCACCACATTCAAACTGGACTTCCTGGGCCCTCTTGTGAAGAGGGCCGGCCTCTGATGCCTGTGCTCAAGTTCATTGGCAATTCAGACTCCCCTGTACTCCTGCCAGTGAACAGTGTCCCCTGCTCAGCAGTTCCTGAGCTCCATGCATAGTCTGTATCTGCTGACAAAACCCTATGTTATAGTCCCAAGTCCCTAAGACTATAACTGCTTATTAGTGGAAAAGGAAATTCCAAAATAAAACACGGTCCAATCATTTACTTTAACAAAAGATTTATTTGAAACAGGTTTGTGCAGACATACACCAGTCAACAGGATTGATCAAAGCCACAAATCACTAAATTCTCCAAACACCTCTAAACACACAAGTAGATGCCCTTCATTTGTATTCACTCCAGGAGGGACCCCAGCTCCACTCAATGCGCTGCTGTAATTTAACAACCGGGGACGTTAATAGGACGGCAAAACGGTTATACTTCTAGAGAGAGGGAACAAAAACCCCCACATAACATGGAAGCTCTCCCTGCTCTGCTGGGAGCCAATTAAATGTGCCCCCATAAGCCCACTTCCCTCTGTATAACCAGATTAAAACCTCCCAATCGCCAACGATATTTAAGCAATCACAGCGCAGATGTGACAAGAGACAGGAGAACACATGGCTTTGCTCTCAGGAGAAAGACCACAAAGATGCTGCATTCAAATGGCAATTCTGTGAGCTAGAGGAACGAGGGCCCCATCCCTGCAGCTGTCCATGCCGTCACACTGACCTGGACAGGGAGGCCTGCACACAAGCATCCTGACACACCCCTGGATTTGGCCATCACTGACAACATGGGAGAAGACGCAGGAGAGGCCAGCAGAGGTTTCAGTCCTTAATCCATTTTATTAGTGAAAAAACAAACATGACTTCACTGTTGCAAAAACTTTTTTAAATTTTTTTTTTTTATTTGTGCTGCTGGGGATGGAACCCAGGGTCTTACTCATGCTAGGCAAGGCCTCTATCTCTGAGCTATGCCCCTAGCCCCAAAGCAATTTCTTTTCTGGAAAAAAAAAAATTGACACATAATAATTGTATATATTTAAGGGATATGGTGCAGGCTTCTAGTTGGAAGGAAAGAAACTCCATGACTGGCTAGGTTTTCTATTTTTCTATTGGTGGTTAGTGTTTCACCTGTATCCACATACCAAGCTTCTCAAGGAACACAAGTGGATCCAATCTTAGGGCAAGTGGGTCCAGAACCTTCCGGGCTTTTTCGCTTTTGCAGGGAAGAGCTTACCTAAATAAGGCTCTTGATAAGCTCTCTTGACCCCTGTGTTTCCTGGGCAGGGTTATTTGGATAGTGCTATTATTTCAACTTTCTTCCATTTCTGCCATAAATCACAGCCACCTGACATTTTGTTCCTGACTTTTAAAACAAACAGGTCTCCTTTCTTTCTTTAGCCAGGTCAGAAGAAACGCCTATGGGCTAATCTTTGAGCGTGTTTTTCTTGGTCTGACGCCTGGGAGAGAGAGCAGAGTAGGTATCTCAAAAGCAGCTAGACCAAGAGATTGTCATTTGAAAGGGAGCCAGACTGTGTGCAAAAAGAATCACCCTTTTGTCTCCCCTCCTTCGGGAAAGCCAAGGTGTTCATCTAAGGTTAATGGCTGTGGATCATACAGGGGGTGGGGGTAACTGGTGAGCTCACCCCTCTTTTCTGCTTCCATTTGTTTGTAAGGTCTGACCACTTAGATTTATGTGGGTTTCATACCCTTCTCTTCCCACTGACGAAATCACTCATACCTAGCAAACTGACAGAGAGCTTTGAACAAAGCACTGGTCAGAAGTTTGATATCCAGTGAGCTTAGGTAAATTCACGTGAGTGGAATGGAAATGTGTATTGCTGAACAACTTGAGATGCTGAGAAAAAAAGAATGAATAAATGAAGGGCACAATACATCAAATTGAATGTTCCTAGTCTATTTCTTTTAAGAGTACTTAATAGTGTCATTGTGGGGGTTTTAGACCCTTGTTACTATGATCCATCAGAAACCCACCTAGCTGCTGTCCATGCCCCTTCAGGGTGGGAAATGGCTAGCATGAGTTAATAATAACTACCTGGAACCAATGAAGAATCGCCAACAAAGCCAATTAATGCACATTCTTTTTTGGAGGGGAGGAGGCTTTTAACTCTCTCCGTTGTTATCATGTTCACTAATTTAAACATTTGCATAAAGAAAGTATTTATGAGATGAGAGGGGGTGCTGTCTTTTGATTTGACCTGATAAACTCAGTCCTTTGCCAAGTTATTATTTCAAGTTGTGCTTAGCTGGTTTCCCTGCTCACATATTTTATGGATCCCAGGAGATGAAGGCTACATTTCAAATGCTGAAGCTAAATCACTCCTTGAATTACTTTGGGACAATGACCCTAGGCAGTAATTCAAACCCTGGCTGAAATATGTGGAGTCCTTTCACATGTTCAAAACTAAAGACTACCTTCTCCTACAGCAAAGTCTTGCAAACATTCTATTTGACTTATGGTTCAAGATATAAATCCCTAGGAACATGGATAGATGATAGAAATTCTCACTCTTATGGTTATAAAAAGGTAGAGAGTCATTGTTATAACAAAAGGAGATTATAACTCCATTTGTACTCAGAAGCTGACCAAGACAATTTTTAAGAAAATTCAATTTTAAAGCCTATAATCTGTATGTCCATAGGCATTTTCAGACATTAGTTACCTAGACTCACTTTCCCCCCCATCGTATACTGCTTCTTAAAATGTTATTACTGAGTTTCACTATCAGATTCCTATAGCAGACCTGAATCCTTGTCAAGGAAAAGGAAATGTCAACAGAGTTCTCAGCCGAGCTCGGCTGAACCACAGATTCACTTTTTAGGACAGTTCTCTAAAAAATGTTCACAAAACACCATCCATCGCCTTTCTCCAAAGCACAGGTTTTATATGATACTGATCCAAAAGAGGCATCACATTTTTGTTTTAGTGTATGCACCTATACATAGGGAGATGGGAGAAAATAATACTGGTCAAGAAGTCTGGAATAGTCTGCATTGAGTCAGGACAGACATTAGCTACACTCCCCAAATTCTTACAAAGCCCACGCCGTCAGCCGTGCCAAGTGAATCCAGAATGCCAAGCAGAGAGAGGTGGTTCTTTCTGTTCTCCCCTTCCCTTTACAATGTGTTTTTTCTACAGTCAATGTTGCAAGTGAGTGCCCATGCAGAGGAACCAAGAACTCGTTTTAGAGGATGGCTGGTCTCACTTGTTTGCAGAGTTAGCCAGAACAGGACACAGCCTCAAACAACACAGTAACTGGGTATAGCACTAGCCTAGGGGTTGGCCTGACTGGGTTCTGCCAGCTCAGCCTAAGGCCCCATGTTGCTGACCAAGTTTGACCTACTAGTCTGAGAGTCACTTACTGTGTGGAGAGTGACAAGTCCCATGTGACGTTTCTACTGATCTGACAGGCAGCATATGCAACCTCGTCCAGCTCACTCGGCTCCCCGGAGAGGGGTTGTGTGTGACACTCTGACCTCAATTTAAAGATAGGACAAATGACACAGCCCCTGAGTTGGCCCCAGCTAAATATTATACATCACACCTCTTGACAGCTGCCTTGCCTAGAAACCCAATTTAGTCATTCGGCTGTAAGAAAGCTTAATCACACAGAGAATAAATAGAAAGGCATCCCTTCTAGAAATGTTTTCTTCCGTGTGCATACCTCATTATTGCAAAGATTGTTTAGTCTACTTCTCAAAAAAGGAGGAAATGCGACTTCAATCCCAGAAAATATGACTGTACTTTAATGTAAAAAAAATTAAATAAAAACCCTCAAACCCTATAAACACAAACAAGACTTCAAATTCAAGAAAGGGCTAAGTGTTTGACAAAAATTGAATTTTAATTCAATCTTTCCAAATGGGTTTAGTTCCCAAATGAAACCAAATAGTGAAGATGCCCAATGAACATTGAATTCCAACTCTCCTTCCTTTTCTGTATTTCAGCTACCATCTTTTTGGGTGTGCAATAAAGACATACACCTGGTTCGTTGTGTTAATTGGAAGCCAATTTCCTGCTGTCGTTCCTGCAGGTCAGTCCTTGAAAAATTCAACTGGCTGGGTGCTCTGATATTTAAAAATGTTTTGTTCACCTTAGGAAGTAAGAAATGGTAACTTTCTGAGCCTCCCCTGTTAAATGCATCTCGGTATTCTGGTCATCTCATAAAGGAGGATTAGTTTTCTTCATCAATGCAATTTATTCTGTTTTTTCCATGTTCATGAGTTGTGAATGTTCCAGTAATAGTTAGAAAGAAAAGTGCACTATTATTTTATTTTCTAGGTTAGTACAACCATCCCCAGAGGAACGGTGCATTTTAACCAGTACAAGTTACCCAGAAGTATTTACCTTAAGCCATCCTAAAATCAGGTTTGGCAACCAAAGCAAAGAGGAGAGAGAGAACATGCCTCCAAGCCTGCCATTTGTTGAGGGCTCCCATGTTCTCACACACATACTTGGAGGTACCCAGGTCTCATGCCAATTCGAGATGTGGGACTGCAGCTGGGGAGTCAGTGACTGAGCCTTCCCTTCCTTGTCTTAGAATTCAGGGCACTATTTTTAAGAAAGGCCCCCGTGTCTAAAACAAAGTGGACAAAAAAAGGAAATCATGGGCTGGGGATATAGCTCAGTGGGTAGAGTGCTTGCCTCATATGCACAAGGTCCTGGGTTCACTCCCTAGCACCACCACAACAAAAAAAAAGGAAATCATGTCAATATTTCAAATACAGGTATTTAATTGAAAGGTTTGGAATTTTTTAAAATTAAACTGAACGGCAAGGTCATGCTTCAGCTCCCATACAGGGGAGGCTGATCCTGACAACTGTAGGGGCCTCAGGGTGTGACTCCAGAGTTCTGAAAAGATCTGGTGGATATGTCCACTGTGTCTGCCTCCCACATTAGTATGCCCTTCAGCACCTTCCGAGGACAGGTGGGGTCTCCCTCACTCCTCTCCTTCACTGTCCTATACTATTCCTCTGGGTTTGTGAATTCTTTGATTCTACAGCTACAGAGTGAGAGGTGTGTTCCTTCACTGTACAGAGGTCTTATAAACTCAATTTGTTTCCCAATAGTGAGTCTAAAATGTGCTCTGAACTCTCAAGGAAACGAGCATTGATTCTAATTGAAGCAGTTGCCAAAGGCTTGGTGGTTGGAAATTGGGAAATGAGTGAGTACTCAGAGGCTGACCAGGGCAAGGGGTTTGACCATCGCTGTGATCTGTGGGATTCCCCCTTGTCAGAAAGAGGCAGATAGAAATCTAAGATATATTCAGAAGAGCTATGTTTTTGTTCAGTTATAGAACAAAAAGTCAGAACTGCAGTGGAACAAGGAAAATTACTGATTAGGGTCAGCTGCCCACCGGCTGCCATGCACCAAGCCCAGTGGCCAGCTATGCAGAAGGTCTGAGGATAAGGGACACCTGGACAGCAATAGTAGGCTCAGTCAGCTGGCACCTGGCAAGGGTGTAGAAGAGTCCATGGTACACTGACTGGTTCGTCCTGATGGGACTGTGGCCAAGAGGTTCAAATAAAGGTTCTTAAATTTACCTCCCAGATATAGACATTTTATGATTTCATTGCAATCAAGAAGTTTATGCCAACTTCATACAAACAAAATAGGAATGAAAGCGGGTGAGCAACCTGCCTAAAGTGAAGTTTGCATGCTGCCCACGTTGGATGCAATCTGTGAGTTAACCAAACAGGAAGTAAGGGCGCCCTGTTCCAATTACCAAGATGGATCTCTCACGCAACATAAAACTCCCTTCCCCTCCTCCCAGAACAACTAGTACTGATGTTTAAATATCGGTGGAACATAATGTTTTTAATTTCACACCTCACGGAGCACAGTTGAATGCTTTATAACAACGTAAACAGAAGTTAGGCCAAGCACTGCAGACAAATGGGGAGGGAAAAAATGGCTTCCCCTGCGGTCGGTCTCTACTCCAGGTTTGCGAGGGAATAAACAACTAACAAACTGGTTGGCTAAGGCCACAGAAATGTGTTCTCTGGTGATTTGGCTGCTGACGCCAGTCTCTTCTCACAAAGATGGGTTAACACTGGTGCCACAAACCACATCTCTTCCCTCGGATCCATCAGGAGAGGTTGTATCTTATTTCTTCCTCTGTTTCCTTTGGGTGGTATCATAAGAACGCACTATTTCTTCCTGAGAAACAGCTCCATGTTCTTCTTGAGAAAAGGCGTACCCATCTGAAAGAGAAGCAGGCAAGGAGGAAGTGGTTAGCAGGAGGACTGAGAGTGCTCCAGGTTTAAGAGAAGCTGCTTTTCTGAGGACTCCAGCTGAACTGGAAGGCAACCTGTGGCTTCTTGAGCCTTGAATGGAGAGGACTGAGAAACCTGTGATGGTGAAGGGGACTCTGGGCAAGTAGACCTGTGGCAGCACAGTGCTGCCGATGCTGGGGTAGGAATGCCTCTTAGCAGGTAGGGTCTTAAGACTGTATTCCGCTGCTATACTACAGATACCACAGACTGGGTAAATTATAAACAATAGGAATTTATTATTGTTTATAATTTATGGTTCTGGAGGCTGGGAAGTCTAAGATGGACAGGATGCAGCTGGTGAGGGTCATCTTATTGTGTCAGAATGTGACGGAATGGCAACCCACTCCTGAGATAACCAATAAGCAAGTCCCTTGATGACAATATTAATCCATTCACGAGAGCAGAGTCCTCAAGATCTAATCACCTTGTAAAGGTCCCCTCCCTCCCTCCCTCCCTCTCTCTCTCTCTCTCTCTCTCTCTCTCTAGCATCCTGCTATGTTGCCTTGAATAGCAGGGCTCAAGTGATCCCCCTGCCTTAGCCTTCCAAGAAGCTACCAGTACCTGTAGGCATGCCTGGTAGGTCCATCTCTTAATGCCATCACCATGGCAACTAAATCCCAACACAAGTTTTGGGAGGGATATATAGTAGATGAGCCAGAGCAGGTGGCTCTCCTATTCCTCAGGTGCTTCAGCTAAGCTCAGTGTGGGTAGCATAAACAGTGGGTCACTCCCCCACTACCCATCAAGAGAGATGCCTCCATCTACCTAATGCTGCAGGCTGCCTACTAATTTATGAGGCTGTAAACATATCAGGAAAAACACACACTACACTAATAGGGAACTGTACGGATTTGTACTGGTAATAAGTAACTGATATGGGTTTATTTCTATGTAAATAAAATGAAAGAACCCATGATAAAATCAAGAGGAATTTAGTGATCGGACTCATCATGGACTCATCGTGTGGCCACACTATGACTCGTTCTCACAGTCAGTTTACATGATAATAGTAAATAATCACCAACACTTTTTAAGTGCTATGTGTTCAAGACATCGATCCACATACCATTTGCATAATGCTCATTTGATCATCCCAGAAACCCTAAGAAACATGTAATTCTATTCTTACCACTTTTCAGCTAGGAAAGAGATTTTTGTGACCTGTCCAAAGTCACAGACCAGGTGAGTGGCAGAATAGGGAAGCAGGCCTGAGCAGTGTGCTGTGGGCTGTACCCTCTTGCATCTACTGCTCTGAAAGAGGCTTGGTGTTCAGAAGCCTAAGTGGGTGTTCTGCTGTCAACTGGTCCTTCTCACAGAAAGCATCTGGTAAGATTCCTTCTGCATTGGCCACCATTCTGTGGCAGAGGGACAGAAATGTCCCTCAGCTCACATAGATATCCTGACAAAAACAACAACAAAAAACACCACAATCATGAGAAACATCCGTGCATGTGTACAATGGAAATGTTCACTTATTTTCACACTCCAAAGGAGAAAAAGAAGTCAGCATCAGCTCCTGGGTTGTTTGTCAATTTCCTCAGGTGTTTGGCTTATAGAAGAAAGTTGCCAGGGCAAAAAGACATATCGTAGACCATAGCAATGTTTCAGAGACCTTGTGAGGATGGAAAAGACAAGGAGAAAGGAGAAAATGCCCTTTTTTTTTTTTTTTTTGTGGTGCTGGGGATTGAACCCAGGGCCTTGTGCATGCGATGCAAGCGCTCTGCCAACTGAGCTATTACCCCAGCCCTGCTGCCCCTGCAAGTTGCTTTTTTTTACTTCTCTGTGTGCTCATAAATCCAGAGTCCTTGTCCTTGGTCTGGCCTCCTAACTCTTCAGACGAGCAGGCCTGCCAGTAACGCAAGGGCTCCCAGGTGGGCCACCCAGGAGGCAAAGCGCTGGACTGCAGAGGTGGCCTGGGGATCAACTGAGGACACAGAGGCTAAGTAGCAGGGAGGAGGGCCTGGCCCAGGAGTCTACAGGAGGGAGAGAAAAGGAGAATGAGTGGGCCACAGTGAAGGCAGACCCCGCCGAGTGAGGGTGAACGCAAAGGACAGAGAGGGATCCTCCACAGGGGACTTTTGTCTATTTGGTCACAACTATTTCTAACAAAGCAACACACACACACACAATCCCACAAGCAGCCCTCAGATCAGTGAGAGCCCCTACACAGCTGGGCACAAGGCAGCGTCTCTCTGAACTGGAAGCTCGCTGGAGGGGGAGGCTCTGCCTGTTCCAACCAGAGTCCACAGCCCTTGAACTTGCGCAGGGCACTCTCCACACAGGTGTCTTTGCCTGATCTGCTTCTGAGCCCTGATGGGCAAATGCTGCCTCTCAGGCCCCGTTCCCTTAAGAGCTTTAGGATTTTCACCAAGTCGAGAGTTCATCAGGAGGAAGAAACTGCCCCTGCTGGCTTGGGAGGGGCTGCTCCCCACCTCCCGCCTCCCTCTGGCACAAGCCTGTCCTAAACCCGGCACAAGGTGTTCTTTGTGAAGCCTTCTTGGTGTAGTCCCAGAGGACACGCCTTTCCCTGGGACATTTCAAAGCAAAATCTAGCCAGTAACAGTGTCCCCTGGTAACAAGACTGTGTGCTGTGGTCTACTTGGCAACTTCCATTCTCAGGTCTTTTAAAAATCAACGTTTCTAATAAACGGCTGATGTGTCCCTGAGGGGCCAGGTGGCAGCTGTCCCTGGATGGGACGTGCCATGGAATGGCAGTTCAGCCTCCAAATGTGGCTGCAGCCAGGCTCCACTGCCAGGGGAGGCTCTCAGGCTGACCGAGGTGGCCGATCAACAACTGGTCTCCTCCCGTCATTCTAAACGCTCTTTATAAACACTTCCGTGGCAGGCAGGGGACTTCTGAGATCCCCACCCTGATGACCGCTTTGTGCACTCTGCTTTCATCTTGGACCCAGGAAGCCCAAGAAGCTGATGTACTGGGTCCTACTAGGTGTCTAGTCCTTGCTTGGCAATCTTGGGCTTTTTAGGTTTTCTGGTCTTGGTTTACTTTTCTGTAAAATAGATGACCTGGGCCAATGAAGGCTAAGTTCTCTTACAGCTCCAGCCTTCTGTGTGAATTCCAGGATGCTTCCTTGGATAACTATACCCAGGAGGCAGAATCTTCTCCTTGCTGAATACTGATTGATACTCTCCATCAGTGGGGAGGCTTCTCCACCCAAGTCAGAGAGGAAAGGAGTCTCTCTCCACAGTGGGTCCAGTTAGAATAATTGCTTCCTATTCTTTTTTTTTTTGGGGGGGGGTCTGTCTGTATTTACTTTCTTTTGTGTGTGGTGGTAGGGGGCTGGCGGGGGGGCAGGAAATGAAGGGTACTTGTTGAGACTTTAAAAATAAATACTGGGGTTGTCCTTTTGGGAAAGGTAGTTGTCTTTTGAGATTCTCTACTCCTTGTGTATGGAAGGAGCAAAAGCTTTGTCATTCATTTATCCTTTTTTTCTTTCACATCAGGTCTTGCCTAGTGGGCAGCCAACTCTGGGAGTTTCTTTGGCTCATGGCTGTTATGACTTGCTCAACTGCCATTAGTGCCACAGCCATGTGGGCCTGCTGTGGGTGGGCTGGGGGCTGACTTAGCCACGCTGGGGTGGGAAGGATTTCTACATTTCCCTCCCAAGAAGCAGGCCGATAGAAATGCCTTATCCTGCTGCCGAACTCTTCTCCCAGGGTGAGCAGAGCACCCGAAGGCCACTGTCAAATGCTCCTCCCCTCAGTTCTCATTGGCTGTGATCTAACATCATGTTCCAGAATGCTGTGGACCGAGACTTTCTTATTATTAATCTCAACGAAGACTTAAAGAGAACTCAGAAATTCAAGAATGAATGAAGGATCAGGCAGAATCCTGCGGGCCAGTGATCCCAGTGACTTGGGGGGCTGAGGTAGGAGAATGGCAAGTTTGAGGCCAGCCTGGGCAACTTATATTTAGAGAGAAATAAAATAAAATAGAGGAAAAGAGCTGGGAATGTAGATCAATGGCAGAGCACTGGCCTGGCGTGCCTGAGACCATGGCTTCCATTCCCAGCATGGCGGGTAGAGGGAGGATGGTCTGACAGTTTAACCCTAGGAAGTGGGTGGATCCTCCCTGGCTCAGGTAAAATATTCTCCTTTTAGAAACTGGGACTGATGGATGTTAAAGTTGTAGTAGGCAAAGTTTTAATGGAACAACAGGCCCTAGAAGTACTCACCTGCCTCCACCTGCCCAGCCTGTACCTATAGCCTGACAAAGACGCATGATCTGCTGAGCAGGTTCTGCCTAATGAGTATTTAACTAGGAGCTCAGAGGAAGCCCTCAGCAATCTGCATTTCCCACTTTCATTTGTCTTTCAGGAGGGCCTGACAGCTGGAAAGTCCTGCAGTGGCCCTGGAGGAAGCACTCTACTCAGCCAACTTGTGAACTTTCCCTAGCTGGCTTCCTAGTTCATTGATTCCTAAATAGCAACCTCCACCAGAATTCAGGGAGCGAGTGGGGAGGTGGAAGAATGGGGAGAGGTAAATTTCTTAGTTGTTTGTCTTGTCCAGGTAGAACATTTGATGAAGTTCATAAAAATCATGTGTGGTTTTTTTTTTTCCTTTTCATTTATTTTGGAATAAGATTTCCCTTAAGTAGCATTCTTTGGAATCAGAGATCTGATAGCTCCTTAATGAAAGTAGCAGTTTCCTGTCTAGACAAAGATTCCTCACAGCCACAGAAGTGGGGAGACCACAGGGATGATAGGCGATGTAGGAAACACTTGATCTCAGTTGTAAATATTGTTCATTGGTGGTTGGAAGGCACTCTATCAGTCTGGTTTTTCTTGTTCTTATAATGAAATACCTGATTGCTGTGAACATTAGAAAAATAAGAGATTTATTTGGGCTTATAGTTCTAGAGGTGCAAGGTTGAGGGGCCTCATCTGGTGATGGCCTTCTTGCTAGCAGAGTTCCAAGGTGGCAGACAGCATCACATGACAGGAGACAGGAAGCACACAGGCGTCTCTTCTGATCTGTCTTCTTGTAAAGTCATTGGGATTCAGTCCTGGCAGCTCCACCCTGAGGACCTTATCTAATCCCAATCAACTCCCAAAGATTCCATGTCTAAATACACAGTTGGATTAAATTTCTATCATCGTCATACCTCACAGCGGGGATTAAATTTCAACACATAAACCTTGGGGGATACGTTCAAACCAGACCACATGGTCAAATCCAGATCACAGCAGAAACTAAAAATACAACCAAGTTCAAGTGTTCCAGTTTCCTAAGGAGACTGAGGCCTGAACGGCAGATGGACACATGCAGGGGGACAGTCCAGAGGTCTGACTACTCAATGGTCCTCTCTCAGTATTAATGACAGAGTGTCTTACATTGTCTAAGAGGCCCTCGTATTAGTCATCAAGTATTTTAAAAATGTGGTATGATACTAGAAGCTGATTTATTTCTTATATTTGCTCAGTAAATTTTTTTTGTTTTGTTTTTTGCCTTCAAAATGTTGACTTAAGAAAATCATTTAGACTGTTTAAGGCTCTCCGCTTGGTCTTTGATTGCAACACACAAACACACACACACACACACACACACACACACATTGTATATGTCCTTTCTTTCTTTCCTGCACAGAACCCAGGTTTTTGTGCATGCTAGGTAACCATCCAACCATACCCCTAATCCTGCAAATGTCTTTTCCCTATGGTTACCTTGAGACATTGACTAGAGGAGCAGAGTGGCTCTGTAGCATGAACAGTGTGGTTCAGGGAATTTGTATTTTTTTTCTCTGTGTATGACATACAGAAGATACTTCACACTGAGAAGATGCATAAGGCTGCATGCATATTATTATAAGTTTATTCTCTTTCCCAGAGAAGAAATTTAGAGAAATATGTAAGTTGCCCACAGTTTCTCAGCTAATGGCATCAGCATCATCACTGTCATCATTACAGTCATACCTAACTCTCTACAGTCCAGCACAGCTCTAGGCATTTATGTATATGATCTCAAATAATCTTCTTGATCACCCAGCCAGGTTTTCCTATTGTCCTCATCTTATAGATGCAGACATTTTTCTTGCCCAAGGTCACAGAAAAATGGAAGAGCAGGGCAAGGAACCCAGATAGCCGAACTCAGTGGGGGTGCACTCCTTGGAAGATCCCATCAAACCTCTGAACTTGACCTCTCTCAGTCAGAGACCAGTGGCTGTGACCTATATCCCACAGGGCCTCCCTGGGCCACTACTCTCCTGACTTGAGCTTGCTTTGTGCTCTCAGGGCTGGTGCCTAACCCTTGGCCTGGAGGGACATGCACAGACAGGTCAGGCCCCTATATCTCAAAGGGATATTCCACATGGGGAAGAGGAGAGAGGGAGTGGATGACTCCAAGGTGGCCATGTGCTGCGCCTCACCTTCCCTTTCCATTGAGAAGGCCTGGATAATCCCTGTGGTCAGGTGGAGCGCGACTGGACCCCACACCAATCCATGGACACCTGGGCTGTTTTCAGTGTTTCATAAGGTGTTCTTTTTTACCAGATGCTTCCTTCTCAACTTTTCAGGGAGGGACAGGAAGCAGGGAGTGGGGTCTGGGCTTAAAAAGAGATGACCTGTGCTCAGTTAGAAGAGAGGGGAGGTGGGCTGGAAAAGGAAGCGGGATCTCCAGAGGCACAGGCTGGTCCCCAGACCCCTGGGGGAAGGCAGCCTGGGCTCTCTGGCTGGCAGCTGAATGGGTGCATTGCTAAAAAGAAGCCGAGGAGCTCTCCTAAGAGGTCCAAAGTAAGTGTGTGTGTGTGTGTGTGTGTGTGTGTGTGTGTGTGTGTGTGTTGGGGAGGGGGGTCAATCACAGCTCACTCTCTACTCCTCTGGGTCTGGGGGTGATGGGGGGGTATGGCAATCTTAGACATGGGTCAGTCTTCATGGGAAAAGAAGAGATTTCCCCCGCCCAATTGTTATCATTACAATTATTACACCAATAAGCAAAGCAATCCATATTGCTATCAGTGAAGGCAGTCATTGAACACTAATATCACTTCAATTTTAAAAAATTCTCTTTGGAGGCTGACAGAAGGATCTTAACCAGAGCAGGATTTTAGGATTAAGGTTTTTGTCATTCAGGCAATTGATTGGGTTTGAGGGAATTCCCAACATTCAAGTTGCCTTGGGGCCAAATATGTGCACTTCCAAAGCATACCTTTGGCTGATTAGCACTACTTGGAGTTCCTGCAGCTTGCTGCCCTCCTGGCTCTACCCAGGTCCCATTGCCCTGTCTAGGACGACAGCATGTACTCACGTGAGACACACTGCTGGTTCACAGAGCCACCAAGGAAGAGGGTCGGGGGTGTCTTCCTGCCGAGCCTCTTTATCAGGCGGTCACGCTCGTTCATTCTGCAGGGAAAGCAAACACAGTCAGGATCCAGGTCAGCTCCACACGTTTCCAAGGGAGTCAGTGAGGTGAATAACTTCAGGCTGTAAGATCAGACAGATTGACTGAGGTGGCGGGAAGCCTCCCACATCAAGGAGAAGGTTCAGTTTCCCAAGCTGCCCGGTTATTTGCAGTAGATGCTATCTAGGCATGTTGAGTGCACTGCTCCCTCTTTTAAGTCCCGTTGGCCTCCAGAGCCTCCCTCCTCACTTAGGGGTGCTTACAAGTGCCCTTTTCATTCCAGGCAGAACCTGGAGTGATGTGTTTCCACAGTAAAGTCCTAAGGCTTCACCCCCACCTGCACTCACCTTCCCTTTCTGAAGCCCAGGCGTCTGCAGAAGAGAGCGCTCACATGCCACAGGACCCCAGGCAGAGGCGGCTTCTTGCTGCATAGCCCCAATGCTTAGTTTGAACCACAATGAAAAATCTATATGAGTTTTCTTCTAAAACTCACGAATTAGGAACTCTCCCTGCCATTCCTGAACATGCCTTCCCAGGTGCCACTGCTGTGAAGAAATAGGGAACTTTCCCAGAGGTTGGCTATGATTTACAGCAGCCTCAACCCAAGACTGGGTTTCACTTTCCACCGTTTCAGGTATGTGGTCCACCACAATGGAAACATTTAAATGGAGAATTCCAGAAATAGACAATTCATAGGTTTCAAATTGGGTACATTCTGAGCACATCATTCACCTCCCTTCCTCTCACCATTTATATTATCTCACATCACAAGAAGGATGAATATAGTGCAGTAAGACTCTGAAAGGGAGCATGTTCATATAGCTTTGATGACAGTTTATGATTTTCACGTACTTAGATGTGGTATGCAGTCTCCACATACCAAGGCCTGCAAATGTCAGGAGTGGGTCTGGCTGTAGTGACTAGTTCAGAATTGGGGGTGCTGGGGCTGGAATCCAGGCTCTTGTGCATACTAAGCATGTGCTATACCACTGAGCCATACCCTTAGCCCATTACTTCAGACTTTAATGAAATAATAAAATCTCAAATATAAAGTGCCCTTATACTCCTCCCTGGTCCTATTCTTCTTGCTGCTATAAGAAAATTTGGAAATAACCTTGCTGTCCATATTTTATTTGCACCATATATATGTATTTATAATTAATAGACAATTATAAAATATCCAAGTGGTATCATTTATATCGTACTTGCTATTTAGCATGCTTTTCTTTGCTCTTTTCTCTCCTTCCTTATTTATTTATTTATTTTTTTGCCTACTGGCTTAGAGGCATTTTATTAATTTGAGTGATCACTCTTAGATTCTAAACTAACCTCCAATATTTGACAAAGTCAAAAGTCAGAAAATAATAACTGGCTTCTGGGATGGTGCAAAGGCTTTAGAACATCCAATTCTGATTTTTCCTAACTGTTTGTGTTCAGCCCTGAAGCTAACTTAATTTGATTGCCATTTTTTGCAAGTAATCTGTATTTTCCTCCTGGTGGCTTTTACGACAATTCTGTTTGTCTTTGATGTTCTGTGGTTTCAAACAACACTTAGTGTGACTAGGTATAAGCTCCTTGGGTCTTCAGATTTGTTTATCTTCATGAAAAAACTGTGAATTCTGCTTCCATTCTCTATTTTTTCTTGTCCTGAAGTTCCTAACACACACACACACACACACACACACAATGTGTTAGATATATGTACATGTACACACATATATAATTTTATCTTCCACATCGGTAAATTTCATCACGCTTTCCATTTCTTTACTCCTTTCACCTTTTTCTAATCTACTTTGAAATTGACCAATGTGCTTTAACTTCAATTACTTCATTTTTCATGCCTAAACTATATAAGTACAAAAAAGAACAAATTGATAAGTTAGACTTAATTAAAATTAAAAACTTCTAGAATGGGTGAAGTGATACACACTTGAAGTCCAGGTGCTTGGGAGACTGAGGTAGGAGGGTCACCTGAGCCCAGGAAATTGAGGTCAGTCTGGGCAATACAGTGAGGCCTGACCCTCAAAGAACAAATAAAAATTGAAATAAAAATAAAAACTTTTGATCTTCAAAGGAGATGATCAACAAAGTGAAAAGAAAACCACAAAAGAGGGAAAACACAGATCTACTGATCATATTTGATTCAGTTCTCATATGCAGAATGTATAAGTAATTGCAACTCAACAGCAAAAAGATAAACAATCCAGAAAGAAAGACTACACAAAAAGATGGATAGACAGAATTAATAAATTGTTAATCCAGTTTAAAAATGGGCAAAAGATTTGAATAAACATTTATTCAAAGAAGATACACAATGGCCAATAAGTACTGAAAAAGATGCTCAACATCATTAATCACTAGGGAAATGAATGTCAAAACCAAGGTGACCCAGCACTTCATACTTACTAAGAAGACTATAAAACACAAGCAAACAAAGCCAAAAAAAATTTTTTAAATTGTTGAATATCTCAAAAACACACAAAAACTTAGGAATAATTCTAATCAAGGATCTACAATGAAAAATATAGAACACCCAAGAAAGAAAGCATACACAAGAAGATGGATAGACAGAATTAATATTGTCAAGATGGCCATACTACTAAAAGTAACATACAGATTCAATGTAATTCAAAATACCAATGATGTTCTTTACAGAACTAGGGAAAAAAAAAACAGTTCTAAAATTCATTTGGAAGAGTAAAAGACCCAGAATAGCTGAAGCATTCATAAGCCAAAAAAGCAATGCTGAAGGCATCACAAACCTGACTTCAAATTATACAACAGAAGTATAGCAACAAAACCTGCACCGTACTGGCATAAAAGTAGATACATAGACCAATGGAACAGAATAGAAGATACAGAGACAAACCCACACAGATACAGTCATCGGATCCTTGACAAAGGGCCAAAAAGATACATGGGGGAAAAGATAGCCTTTTGAAGCAAATGATGCTGCTAAGACTGATCATCCTTATGTGGAAGGATGAAACCAAACTCTCACCTCTCCCTCACCTGCACAAAATTAACCCAAAATGGATCAAAGATCTAAGAATTAGACCAGAAATTAGCAACTTCTCGAAGAAAATGTAGGGTCAACATTCCAACATGTAGGCATAGGCACTGACTTTTTAAAGCTTAGAAAATAATGCCATGAAATAATAAATTAGATGGCATCAAATTAAAAAGCTTCTGCACAGCAAAGGAAAAAAATAAGAGGGAACCTATAGAATGGGAGAAAATCTTTGCTACCTACTATTTTGATAGAGGATTAATATCCAGAAAATGAAAAGAACTCAAAAAACTGAACACCAACGCCCCCCCCCATTAACCCAAGTAATAAATGGGAAAATGAACTAAATAGACACTTCTCAAAAGAAGAAATACAAATGTCCAACATGTATATGAAAGAATGTTCAGTATCGTTGGCAGTTAAGATTTCATCTCATTCCAGTCAAAGTGGCATCCATCAAGAATACAAACAATAATAAATATTGGAGAGGATTTTGAGAAAAAGGAACACTTCTACATTTTTGTTGGGATTGTAATTTAGTACAACCACTGTGGAAATCAGTATGCAGGTTCCTCAAAAGACAAGGCATGGAACCACCATATGACCCAGCTATTCCACTCCTCAGTATCTATCCTAAAGAATCAAAGTCATCCTACTCTAGCAATACATGTATACTTATGTTTATAGCAGCACAATTCACCATAGCCAAACTGTGGAAGCAGTCTAGGTGTCCATACATAGATGGAAGGTTAAAGAAAATGTGGTCTATATACACAATGGAGTTTCATTCAGCCATAAAGAAAAATGAAAGAATGCCATTTTCAGAAAAGTGGATGGAACTTAAGACCACTGTGTTAAGTGAAATAAGCCAATACTGAAGAGTCACATGTTTTCTCTCATGTGCTAGAGGGGGAGAAAAGGAAAGGATGGTGTGAGAGGGATCTCATGAAAATTGAAGGAGGATCAGTACAGCAGAGGAAACAGATGGGGGATGAAGGAGGGGAGGAAAGGGGGAAACACTGGGGAATGACACAGGCCAAATGACATTGTCACATTGTGTGCATGTACAAATGTGTAACAACAAATCCCACCACTATGTACAACTATAATGTGCTAATTAAAAAATATGGGGGAAAATTTTTAAACTGTTGAAAAGGATGTGGAAAAGCTGGAACCCTCTCACATCATTGGGACCATAAAATGGTGCAGATCTTGCTTCTCAAAAGGCTAAATACAAAATTCTCATACTATCCAAAAGTTCAGCTCCTGAATAAATCCCCCAAATGATAAAAAGGGACTCTGATGAATACTTTTATACCAGATTCATAGCAGCATTATTCACGGGAGTCAAAAAAGTGGAAACGACTCAAATGCCCATCAGTTGATCAATGCTGACAATGATGCTATCTTTATAGTTCATCTCTCCAGTGGTGGGAGCTGTTGGAATTAGAGTGCTTTTGAAAACATTTTTTTCTATGCTGGCATAAGCAGATGTGCTAGCTGGGATCTACCATATTCATAGAAGCATTATTCACAGGAGTCAAAAAAAGTGGAAACAACTCAAATGCCCATCAACTGATCAATGTATAAACAAAATATGGCCTACCCATACCATGGTATATTATTCAGTCATATGAAGGAATTCAGTAGATACATGCTGCAACATGAATAAGTTTTGAAAGCATTATAACCAGCTCCAAAGGCCATGCATAATTATATGAAATGTTCAGAAAGGGCAAATATGTAGACGGAAAGCAGACTGGTGGTTGCCAGAGGCTGCAGAGCAGAGAGTAGGTGGAGAGAGAGGGGAGGAACTGCTTAAAGATTATGGAGTTCCCTTTTGGGGAAATGAAAGTGTTCTGAAACTAGACAGTAGGGATAGTTTTACAACACTGTGAAAGTACTAAATGCCATTGATCTGCACACTTTAAAAAATGATAAACTTTATGTTATGTGAATTTTCCCACAATTAAAAAAAAATCAATTAAA